TACCTGTTGCTACTGGTAAAATACTAGATCAAACATAATAACTAGTAATCGATGCTTTATACTTTTTTTTTAGTGATAATCAATACTTCTTAGTTTTACGAAGATTGTTTTAATTTATTGATAAAAATATTATTTTTGGATAATAAAGATTTTGTTAATTTAACAAAATTAATTAAATATTTAAATTAAATAAAAATATTAATATTATTAATAATAAAGAAATGTTAAATGCATTAAACCAGTTCATAGTCCTATTTTCAATTCACACGTGTTTACATTAATATCTGACAATAATATGTTATACGCAGTACAATGTTAGTACTAACTAACATTGTTTTGCGAAGTATAGTACTTACATATAACATCTACATAGGTATATGTTATTATAATACCTAGTACCACGGCTAGTACCTAGTATCCCAAAATACTCGTACTAATATTGACGACTCATCTCTAAAAGAAACGTCAAATTCTCTGAATATAACTTTGCTCGTTAACACGACATGGAAATCTTTTTATTGACGTTAACGTTTTTGGTCGCACTTAATTCGTTGTACGGGAGTTTCTCTATATTTGACGCGCGTCATTTAGATTTGTGCGTCTTGTTGTCTTTCATGGGTTGTCCAAAAGCGGCAGTGTTTTTACCGACGGCGAAGCTAAAATGAAGGGTAATGGTTTTACATTATGGGTTAGTACATACATAACAATGTATGTACATATTATGTCCACTCTTGCTTAAAGTATTCAACCAATTTAACAGATCGGTGTGTCAAACGATTCGTAAGAATGGGCCTAATTATATGGAAATAAAATTTAAAAGGCTTAGTTTGAAAAATAATTATAATACAATTTTTTTGTGTAAACCTAATTACATTTAGGTTATTACACGGTTTTAATCTTCTAAGTCTTGAATACTATATCCAAAGCCAAAATAGGACGACAGCGCATCTTGTTAAGATGCTATTTAAATAATACACTTTAACGGTTTAAAACGCGATATATTAGTTAAACTTATTTGAAAATGATTTTTAACTTCGGCCCGACGTTTCGGATGCTTTGCAGCAGCCGTGGTCACGGGGAGACTGACGTTTTAAACCGTTAACCGTGTTTTATTTAAATGTGTACTACTCGCGTAAACTATAGACAGTATTTAAGGTGTTATTTAGCTAGGTTATTTCACCTTCTATTAAGTGAGCCTGTCGTAAAAAATAAGGTTACCGCCTAGGTTAGTTATTTTACGTTCCTTGTTCTACATCCCAAGCTCGTACAGACAATAGAGGACATTCTGTCATAAATGTATACTTTGCTAATCTTCTTTGCTATGTTTAAGTTCGAGTAGAGACTGAATATTGTTTTATTTGCATGCATGTTTCACTATATCAAAGTTCAAGAGCGTCGTTAAAAAATAAAAAAATCTTTCGACCCTAAACAAGACGAATTATTTACGCAAGTAGTGTTAATACACCTCAATAAAAAATGTAGTTTTATGAACTTGATCATCTCGACGTTTCTTATGCTGACAATAATTGAAATTTGTGTGCCGCCGGTTTTAATAATCTAAATCAATACTAATATATACAGCTGAGTTTGTTTGTTTGTTTGAACGCGCTAATTTTAAAAAATGATTCAAAATACCCCAAAAGTATGTGTGAAAGAATGATTCCTTTTTAAATTATCTAAAAAATGGCGACGCTATATATCTATCTGTTAAGATTAACTTGCAAGAACGACGGGAAGGGACGCGACCGACGTCGTGGGTAACTGCTTGAGTTTATGAAGATGAAGGGATTTGCAAAAACGAATTTGGATACCCAAAATATATATTCTAAGCGCGCGAAGTCGCTGAAACAGCTAGTAACTAAAGTGCCTACTATATTGGGTATATAGTTATGTATTTCTATACATATAGTTTATCTAAACCGTCAATATGCTAAGTGATCACCGTTAACCATACTGAAGTGCTAATATTTCCATTCGCTTTTCCGTCTACAACTCTAGATGCACTGTTTTCTTCGACTCGCGATAAAATAAAACCTTTTACGGTATTTTATTTATGAGCATCAAAACGAGAAGTACTAGGAGTGAAGCGTAGCCGAGGAGATATTAATATTTAATGAAAGCGATTTTATCGGAATTGGTTCAGTATATGCCGACTTTACTCTCGTTGGAATAAATGCGTTCAAATAATCGCTAAGTTTATCATATTGGGAGATAAGATTACTGCAGTTTCCATATATCTAATTTAACGAGGCTTTCACTTAGACTTAATTGAGCTTTTCTAAATAAAACAGACTTGCGGTCCGTAACGATACGGTTTGCTTTTCTGTGCCCTTAGAAGACTCTTTCTTGTAATTGCGCCTAAACTTTTATAAACCAACGTGAAAAAAATCCCAATAGTCACTATTTATTAAAACGTTCATCCTTTTATTTAAAAATGAAATCCTATTTCCCTGGACTTGTGGCGAATACACAACTTAGTCCGTTTACCAAACGATTAATTTAGTAAGTACGTATTTTATTTAGTTTAGTAAGAACGGGGTGTTGGGCACAACAGTGGGGCACTGTTGGCTACACAAATAAAAAAAATATTCGGTAATAGATCATCTTAAAGTATTATGTTGTAGTTATTAAATAAAATATTTTAAATAGTAATTTTTGTCTTTTCTTGGTAACGCTGCAATTTGTCAAAATATGTTTAATATTTTGGCTTACCAAAACTTTTTTCTAAACGAGTAAACGAGTTTTAAAACATAAATTAACGTTTTATTGGGCAGTCGTAATTTAGTTATGTGAACTGCCACAAAGATTATCCGTTAATAAACTGTTATACAAGCAAGTTATTATTCAATTAATATTTATTACTATAAATAACATCAAAAAAAAGTTCATAATCTTTGTTTTACGCAGCTTAAACAATCTGTTAAGGCAAAATTATGTATTTTATATACCATGTCTAATTCTACTATTTATTTGTGGTTTTGAACAATAAACATATAAATTAAGTCTAAAAACAACAAGAAATAAAAGAAACACTTTTTAACTACAAAAGTGGCATTCCTAAAACTATAATCTGTTTTTTATAAATTACAAATTTTTGGTACTTATAAGTAATAAATATAATTTTAAAACCTTACCCATCTCTCTAAACATATCGAATCTGTCCCATCCTTTAATTGTAAATTATTACCTTTAGTCCTCTCACATAAAACATTGTAAAAATAACTATGGTTTAAATTCACCCATCACAATTTAAATTGTACAACTGTGTTTTTAAATTAGATCAATTAGATTTATTCGTCAACTCAAATATGTTCAAGAAAAAAGTTTTAGAAATCTTACCATCCATAAATTTTAATTAGTTGTTTTATTCTTATTTAATGTCTACCTAATCTGTAGTTTTAATTGTTATGTAAAAAACTCTCTTTTTTTAATCTTTGTTTAATATATTTAGTTAAAGTTGTGCACACCTTTAAGTTAGATACATAAGTAGTATTAACTATTCTTAGAAATAGATTTTGTAAGTTTAATTATGTATGTAGTTGGTGAGCCTTGTATAAATAAATAAATAAATAAATAAATAAGAGATTTGAAACATATGTATTAATTTATTTAAAGAGATATTATTGCAGATACTCTCTGAAACTATTCTAAAATAGTTCTAAAGTAACATACAAATTTTAATAAGATTATATCGTCATAAATACTAAAGTAATACAACATTTAAATCTATTTCGTAAGTATGGCTGCCGAACAGATATAATATAATCACATTTGAAAAGCAATAAAACCTCCATTGATAGCTAGTTACGAGCATCTGTGAATTAATGTCAGTTAATGAATTTGCCGCTTGGCGGGAGATTTCATGACCACCCAGTGCGATCTGTATACTCTGTAGGAATAAGTGGCTGTTAACGTTCGTTTTCGGAATATTTTTAATCTGTTATTTCTTAATAGACTGACAGTTGACCGCCATTTTAAGTAGATTTCTAATGCGTTTACGACAACGAAGTTAAATCGTCAATGATTTAAAGAGACGCATTGGAAATCAAAATGTACATTAATTTGTAGAAGGGACGATACTATTGTAGGGATAGAAATATATAAAAAAATCTGTTCATTTAGAACTGTCAATATACTGCAATAATACATATACTGTTTACATACAATGTACAATACTGTAATAAGTAAGCACTTTTAATCAGCGCTAAGTACGTACACTGTATTTGGGACATGTTACAATATACTTTTGAAAACAATCCGTTAGCAGACACACAAATGTGTCTATCTTGTCATCAAGCTAATCGCGGTATACGACATTTAAAAGCCTGTTTTTTCGTATCTATCAAATAGTTCAGCAGATGTAACAATAATTTTTCACATTTCCCAAATATTTCCTCGTCCACGAACCGATGGCTCGCGAAGGCTAACTCGTGCCGTGAATATGAATCAATTTAATAACCTGTAATAAAACAAAAGCGGTCCAATAAATAAAGCAGTTTGTTTATAAGTGCTGGCTGAAATTGCTACGTTGACCCGCCAAATGTTTTTATTACGAGCCTTTATTAAAGTTGAATTATCGTATACACCTTTAAATAATCTTGAAAAAATACGTAAGACCTACAGACAATCTTGATATAAACTACGTGTGTTTCTAATGTGCGGAATTGTTAAAAGGGGGTACAGTCGTTGTTAAATCAAAATTATGTTGTTTCAATAAGTGGATAATATAAGTTTAAATTTAGAACATAACATTTTTGATGGGGGATTACTGTATAACGTAAAGTATTATTACGATAAAATACTCTACTCGAGTTATAGTTTCTTAAACGTGACGTAGAATAACTAAATTGATTGAAACGCACCCTAAGTTACAACACCCAACGAGCTTTTGTCCTCTTCCACCAAATTAGAACCAACGTTTGAGCGAATAAGACAAAACACAATAACTTGTCGTTAATAAGTTTAACCTCTGTCATTGGGCAGTGAACAGTGCTGTACAAATGCGGGCGACGAAAATGACATCGCAACACTGTAGGAGCGTCACACCTCCTCTATCCCGCGCAAGTTCAACAGACATAGTTGCGCCGCTATCCCCGGATTTGTCCCGGCACCGCGGCATGTCGCCGGACTTGTCGTTCCGACACCGGCCGTTATCCCCGGATGTATTGGATCGAATGTCTGCGGATCTGCCGAGGCGGTCTCGCTCACCGGCGCGGCCTAGATCCCTTATGGAATCGTTGTTAGTAGCCAAAATGGAAGCTCTAAGCACCGGGAAGTTAGTGCGAACGGATTCGTTGGAGAGTTGCAGCAGTTTCGGTTCGATGTCGTCGCTGCCGAGTGATGTGTGCCGCTGCGACGACTGTCTGCTGGGGATAGTAGATTTTTATCTGCCTAGCCCTAATGATGCTAATCGTCCGTTCAGAAAGGTAAGTTGATTAGTGATAGTTTAAAGAGAGGAATTTGTGCTTTAAAATGATTTCTATTCTTAATAACCAATAGATTATAAAAAAATTAGTCTCAAAATGAGATTTTAATTGAAGCTGCTGGAGGCAGAGTGGCCTTATAACAAAAACATGATTTTCAATAAAAATTACAGTTAATGGCGTATTTTAGGCGAATATAAATTTGTATTATTAGACTTATGTTAACAATTTTCGGTCATTGTGCTGTTGTAGATAAATTTTTTAAGACTATAATAATTTAATCGACGCAAGTCAGAAAATTGCAGTTAGGCTACTCTGCCTCTAGCCGCCTTAATTTATTAACGTAAAGTTTAATATCAAACGTGTAATAATAATCTTCTATTAAACTGTTTGAAAATTTGGTTTCTAATTGAGATATTTCTTAATTAAACAAGAAATCAATTTTAAACTACGAAATAATAATTCAGACGTAGGTATAAGTTAAAATTATACGTAACAAAGTTTAAAATCAGTTATTTAATTAAAAGCACTTAAGTACGGTGTATTTTAAGTCAAAAGCGTTAATAACGACACGATAAAAACAATTTTTAATGTGCCGATTGCCGTAAAAACGGGTGCGCAAAATGTATTTTATACAGCGCAAGCGCGTAATCGATTTTTTACGTAAGATTAAAAAACGCTTCGCATTGAAATCGATAAAATTATTGATTGGCAGGAACGACAGGTGGTTGGTATTTTTGAGCGTTATGTTAATATGTGTTTCGTCAGCAATTATTTATGGAGTGAAGTAATTTCGCGCAGATCCTTACTGCCTTCGTAGCGCAATAGTTAAGCTTTGCATTGTCTTAAGCTCACGAGATACAGGGTTCGAGTCCCGGCGAAATATTAAAGTGTTACAGTCATGCAAACCACAAAAGTCTACTATTGCCACTTGTCTTAACAATCAATTATTGAGACGAAAACAGAAATGTATTCGCCCCATGTCCCACGTAGCAATATAATAAGTATTAGAACGTTATTTGTTATTCGTTACTTTCAGACAAACGAACTAATAGAAAGAACGATTACATTTATAGACATAAAAAGTTAGTCTCTTAAAAGTGTCTGTATGCCCTTTTCAGCAAATAACAAATCCTACCTAGTTATCTTAACATACATTTTAAAGCAAAATCTTCTTTAGATAGAGAAAATAGGTCACGCCTATAGTACCAATTCTGTCTACGAAACATCCGGTCGCTTATTTTGGAACTCCAATGGCTTTCATACATCAAATGAAATAATTGCTTCGTAAGAAGGAAGTTCCGAATTTGACAAATCAAATTATAAATTAGCTCAAAAATTTTTAAATGCAAAGACTTTTTTGTTTAAGGGAACACAATAGGTAACGAATTAAGAAATTTAATTAAACGTAACATTTTCTTTAAATTAAAGCATTTTAAGCAAATTTGATTCATTCAGTTCACTCGGTTGTTGCCCTCTAGTGGCCGTTGTCAAAACTAATACTATGACAGTTCCTACTGCGCATGCGCAAACGATTTCTGCTACTGTATTTACGCTTAGCGCTTACAGATGGCACTTAATCGTACTTTACAGAAACGTTATATTTTTAATACAATTTTAGTTATTTTATAACCACTCATTTTAAGTATATTTTTTGTAGTCCAGTTATTTTATTTTGTTATTGATTTGTTTGTTTGTTATTCATTCATTCGTTTTAATAATCTTTTGGTATTATGTACATTATACATATTTAAAGTTAAATTCTGTGTCATTATTATCTAAATTCTAATTTCAACTAAACTAGGCATAGTTACTTCTGTAAAGGATCTGAAACGTCGGGTTATATTTATAAGTAGTCTATAGTAATATATAAAGCTAAAGAGGTTGTTTCTTTGTTTGTGTGTACCCGCTAATCTCAAAAACAACTGGTCGGAATTGAAACACAAAAAATCTTTTTATGTTGGTTAGAGCATGTATCGAGAATCGCGCTAAGACTAACAGGAGCGAATAAAAAAGGGGAAAAGTGAAGAAAACGGGGGAAATTGCTCACTCTGCGGGTATCCGTTGTGTATGCTGCGAAAACGGTTCATGATACCTTAAAAACACGTATTAAAGAATGATTCCTCTTTAAACGATCTAAAAAAATTACTGCGACACTATACGTCTATGTTTTAAGATAAACTTGTAAGCGGGAAGCGACCGACCCCGTGGGTTGTGGTCAATTTTGACGCTCATAATAACTATTCTACGCGGACGAAGTCGCTGGCACAGCTAATTAAACAATATAATATTTCGCGTTTTTTTGCTTTCAAATGTGCAACACTCTCGAACTACAGACAATACAACTAATTATAATTATAATAAATTATCAAAATTAATTTAAATAAAACACTTTAACGGCTTAAAACGCAATATATTAGTTAAAGTTATTTGCAAATGATTTTTAACGTCGGCCCGACGTTGCGGATGCTTTGCAGCAGCCGTGGTCATGGGGAGACCACCACGGCTGCTGCTGCGTGTTTTATTTAAATGTGTACTACTCGCGTAAACTATAGACAGTATCTTATCAAAATTCATTCATCGATTAATGATGTTCATATCCTGGTTATTAAAAAATACTCTTACCTAAAGACACTGTAATTGTCAATGATAGTGAAATTCTGAAAAGTCAATAACACGAATTGAAAACACGCCGTCAAGGAATGTTGATTTATTTATATAATCTTATTAGAATTCTTATCTCGTGGAGAAATATAATGCAAAATTCATTGAAGTGTCTCGTTTTACGTCAGTCGTGTGCGTTGAACCTATCTCGTCGAGACAGTTACGTTGTCTTCGCTATAAAAGGGAATTTCTTTTAAGGACCATAGGATCGTAGGCGCTAATGACGCTTGGGTATTTCTTGGGTACCAGGATATGTTTATGCACGTACAGAGAATCTTATAAAGTGATTTCGGAAAACTCATAGCGTATATTAGGTACGTACTATTCTTTGATCTATAGTTTATTTTATTATTACACTTTAATGGGCTTGTTGGTCAACTTTTCCCATACATTTCTTTTCATACTATATCACAATATTTTTGATTATATTCATAATATAATTTAAAGATTCTAAACGATGCTACGGCGTCGACGTTATGCATCTTATAATTACAAAAAGGCACTTTTGAAATTTACTTTGACACTTTTAGCAAAGGTAATTTGAAGTTTAGCTAATTTAATAAAAAAAATACACAACAGCATGGAACGCTGACGATGCGTCGGGCAGGACTTGAACCGTCAAGTCGAAATTTTTTTCAATTTATTTTTGATTTAAATAAAACACTTTAACGGTTTAAAACGCGATATATTAGTTTAACTTATTTGAAAATGATTTTAACTTCAGCCCGACGCTTCGGATGCTTTGCAGCAGCCGTGGTCACGGGGAGACTAAAGATGGATGATGTCTCTGACGTCAAAGTAAAAAAAAATAATGCTACGTTAGCGCCATATGTTCCGTCGAAGTTGGTATTTGGTATGATAAATCACTGTTAAATCATTAAAAATTCTTTATGAAATGACAGACATAATATAATAACACAAAACATGATATTTAATAAGGAGGAATGTAAAAATTGCCAATCAACTTAGGGTAAGATGAATCTGTACTAGGTATTATTTGTATACGTTAACAATTCTCGGTCATTGTTCTCTTGTAGATTAACATTTTTAGATTATGAAAATATAAATAACTCAAGTCATAAAATTGCAGTTAGGCACGCCTCTAGCGGCCTCCTCATACCTATGTAAAAATAATTTTGTGTTTATATATGTAGGTAAGTGCCATTGGTTATAAGTCAACAAGTCGATATAATATTTATGAATCACTACTCAAATTGTATACTTTATACATTTTAAGCGCGATAAGTAATTGTTATAATGAAGTAAAATAAGTCTTCACATTAATTAGTTTCTTTTTAATGAGTACCAACATTTGCTAAAACATCAACGTGTTAAACGTTTATTTGCAATTCAAATCAATTCAATTAAATCTATTCGGTCTACTGAATTGACGTATTTGAACTGTAAAACATTTTACACAAAAGTAGTTTTTATCGCGTGCTATTTAAATTTGTTTTGGCGTGTACAAATAGTTCTTTATAATGACGACTGAGCAGGTCCCGTTTGCGTCACAGCTACGTCATCATTCCTTTCTCTGCTTTCCCGGTATTTATATTCTCCTGAATATAAATTATGTTTAACACAAACAAGGATAAGGCACAGACTAAGATAAGCAGTTTGTAAGTAAAAAAACGCTCTTTACTCTAAATTTGTTGAGCTGTGGCACGTGCTCTTTTGAGGAGAAACGTCTATTGTAATTATACAAAATATGCAATATTGTTACTTTTGTCAAATCACTATTTAATTTAAAAATCGAAAATAAATTTGAAAAATTTTTCCCCCCCCCCAGTAGACTTCCGTCTGTTTCTACCAACTTTCATTGCCGCTCATGTAAACATGTGAAAAATATTAATGTTTTCAAATCACTATTTTTTACTATTTATTTGTAATGAAGTGAAGCGAGGTTAAGAAACAGGAAATCTAATAAACAGTTTTTGTGAAGCAGAATATAATATTGGCAGAAAATTGCCTAGTTAATTAGGGGTTTTAACAGAAAATAATGATCTACATTCCTGTAAACAAAATTGATCAGTGAAACAAGCAATCGGGTCAAACAACGAACCTCATATTGGGGAAATGGGGTTTATACGTTATTTACATATAATAAATTGAAAAAGTGTGTTATGATACAAACGTATACTCTGTCGCAACTGAACGATTTAAACTGTGGTGCAGTAATCTTATTCTGCCTTCCTGATTCTTGTCATAAAAAATACGACGCGTTAAGCGAGACATTAAAAGAATAAAGAGCAATAAAAATTACTTCAGTATGTAATCGGAATGGGATCGTGTGACGGAGACGAGCTGAATTATTTTTATTGCTTTGTATACAAATATGGTCTCTTAATATCGCGACAAGAATACTTTAAACGCACTCTCATATTAATATCTAGAACATTGGTATTGAACGTTGATAATCATCCCTCGTAACTCAATGCTTAAACATTTCTTAGCACGACAGTTCTTAAGTTCGAATCCCGATAGATAAATTGTTTCAGTAGGACAAGATATACAAGACTAACCAATTACCAGTCAAACAGTGATACGGGCCCAGAAACGTATACGCGCCATGCCTCACAGGGGAAAGGAAATTTTTTATTTTTGTCTTTACGTATATAATTACGAGTATTACTACTATAACGTAACTAATAGCTTTATTTGTCAGTTAAAAATGAGGAATTTTGAATTTTAGTGCTGCGTAATAACATATTTTTACACTTTAAATATACAGATTAAGACGGTTATATATATGTGAGGCTAGTAGATGTAGAGTAGCCTAACTGCAATTTTATGACTTAAATTATTTATATTTTCATAGTCTAAAACGTTAATCTACAAAAGCACAGTTAACGAAAATTGTTTACATATACACAAATAATAGTACAAATTTACTTTCGCCAAGTTAATATATAAAACTATGTTTTTTGTTATTAGGCCACTCTGCCTCTAGCAGCCTCATATATACATGCTGTTATATATATAGGTTTAGTGGTATGCCCACACTGTAAGGAGTTCGTTTTTAAAAAACCGAGGGCGGTTGCATGTCATGTGCAGTAAATCTATACTTATATAAGCTGAAGAGTTTGTCTGTGTGTTTGTTCGGGTACGGGTTGAAAAATTATTTTTGTTGGCAATAAAACATCGCGCTGTTAGCGAAGATACAGGGGAAATGTGAAGAAAACTGGGGAAAATTTTCATCTCGGTTTTTCCTCCTTCAATCTAAAAAAATGTCCCGAACATTATATGCCTATTTTTTACAATTTAAAAGCTAAAATTAAGAAAGAGGAGATTTGCTAAGTGATAAGTAGTCTTTACTAGTACTGAGTAATATTATCTACAAATAGTGAATGTTTGGCTCCATTACGCGGAAGGATTGTATGGAAATAATATAAGTAGGAAAACTTAAAGATGTCGTCTTCGAACCATTACTTTAAATGTAAATGTTTAAACAAATTATCATTCCAATGTAAACAATCTCGAAGTTACTTAAGTGAATTATTGAAACCTGTTACTCGGCAGATCTTGACGTCAAAGCGTTAAAGATATATTTTGTGTAATGTGTCGGACGATATTAAAACATTAATTATCATATCATAACATTTAAATTTTTAATTTTTCATCCTATACATTCGTTTACATTAAATAATTATTAAAAAATAATGTTACATCAAACTTTAATATTGTTTATATGATGGCACTCAATAAATTGAACATTGAAAAAATGATTGCGCGAGAGTTGCACGTATCAGTATTTTGAAAAAAATCGACTACGACGCTTATGTCACTAGGTAGCTCAACTGCTTTGGTCTTAAAGCAACAGCACGAAACGCTGTGCATGCCGATACAGGTCCTGCCCGTGTCAAAATGTATTAAAATATATTTTAATTTATAAACTTACATAAAAATTTTCATTTTATTTTTGTGCACGGACAGTTATGGAACGGTTTGTTGTTATTACTGGTCAGAATTCTTTGCATTTAATCTACATTCAGTGTCCCAACATTTTGTGTTCTATTATCAACATCAATGGCTGAATGGCTCCTCCTGGGTCCCAGCCACTTCCAGGCTTTCCATACGATCCATTGTAAAATATAGGAACTAGATCTGTTTTTAACATACTTCCTTTCTATAGCTAGAGTTCTAATGATTTCGATGAGCTCATTGGTGTAATGGTAAAAATGTATAGCTTATAATCACCAGGTCGTGGGTCGATCCCCATTGAATCCAACATTTTTAATACATTTATCGTTTTTCTAACACATGTTCGACTTTATCCGGATGTGTGGATATAAAATGGGTGATAGACATTTCGTCCGGTTCACGAACGGTTCAAATAATACGATAGACAGAGGCGAAAATAGGCCGACAGCGCATCCTGTTTCGATGTCATATGGCTGGGGTATTTCAGATACCATCAAGTGAATCCTATGCTTGTCTGTCCTCCTCTATCATAACAAAAAATAGATTTTATCACACGTATAGTAAACAACCTAAAATCACCATCGAATTCGAATTTCGAATAAATACACAAGAACACGTGCCCTTGCGCATTCGATAAATAATTAACAAGTTACAAATCAATATAACACAATTTTATCGTTCAAAAGCGTTGAAAACGTAATTATAATGCAACAAGTCGACATTGGACACTTCTTGCGTAACTAAGAATATCGAGGTAAGGTTTTTTTGCAGTAATTGCGTTTAAGATTTCCTTTGATTTCACTATAATGACGTCGGCGCTGATGTGTTTAATTCCTATTTAAAACAAATTGGGTTCATTGGTCTACATGTACCAGCGTATGATGCGTAAGAGTAACAGACAACGATTGGCATTCCGTGTTGGGAAGCGAACTCACGACCCGTGCCTATATATTTTTCTAAAGCGTGATAAATTTCGTCTGAATATTAAATGTGTGGTATAAAAATCTATACACGATTTGAAAACTACTGTCCATAAGTGGATAGGTGTTTTTTTATACTACAGAAGGGCAGACAAGATGTGCTGTCGCCCTATTTTGGCTTTGGACATTCGGAAATCCACAGACTGAAATCGACATTTAACTTTACAGCTTTCGGCGTTTCGATACCAGTTTGTCGATTTTTGAATGTTCATAGCAGAAATACGCCGTCAACGCATCATTTAGTCTTGTCTTATATAAAACCGATTAGTATAAAAAAATGTGTTCTCCCTTCATTCAACACGGTATAACGATACATGTACAAGCTTGTATTTTACAATATGAATCAAATTATGTAATATTATATATATATATATATATATATATATATATATATATATATATAGATATATATATATATATGTTAGAATGTAACTAACATAGTAAAACTATGCAATTACGTTAACTCAAATAAATATTAACGACGGCAATAGGAAACTGTTATCTAAGCACGTCATTGCGGGCCTTGTGCTTTTTCATCCTTAACAAATTTCAAGCACGTAGATAGAAAAATTAGCTTTACTATGATACCGTGCTTCATTATATGGGCTATTTGACAATGCGAAAAATGTAGTAAAAAGTGTCAGTGGTGATTTTTAATTCGATCTTTTTTAGCAAATATGAATCAGAATTTAAAATTACTACAACAGTCAAACAGCCCATTGTTCGGCTTCGTTGGTCTTAAAGTAGAAATATATTGCTAACGGGGGCGTGAGTTCGATTCCCAACGTGTATTTTCAATTATACTAAAACGTGTTAATTGTTCGTAATTTGTCGAATATCTGGATATTAATTGAATAGTAGAAATATAGAAATTCTATATGGGTTGTGAACCTGTGTAGATAAAAAAAACGTGAATTAGTCGCGTTTCAGGCTGTGGCCTTACGAAAAGCCAAAATCGGTCGATAGCACAACGTGTTTACATGTGATATAACAAGAGATTTTCGCTTTCCTTTAAGAGGATCCCATGCTGTCTGTTATCTGTCATTAATAAATAATAATTTTATCATTACATTTGGCGTTTTAAACCGTTTTGAATGGTTTCGATCCTACTTATAAGAAGTGTTTATTGTATATAATAAAGGCGATTTAATTCCACATTAGATTCGAAAGATAATAGAAATGTTTATATTGATCGATTAAATTAAGTTTCATTTATTTTCTTTCAATTATAAAATATTACTTTTCAACTTCACAAAAAAAACATTGCCCTACTCACATACGAATGGCAATAATTACATTTATTAAACAGAAGCACTAATCCACAAATTAATTAAGTCCACAGATTAGTAATAATTACAAAGTAGGTCAGACATTTTGAAGGACTTACAGAACTATGTTAATAAGTAACGTGCTTCGAAATGTAATTAACAATATTTTAGTTAAAATTATGCAAAGGTTACACTTCCAGCGTCAATGAGTACAAAAAACCGGTAAGCGCGACTTGAAATTTTTGCTCAAAAGATTCCGTACCAAAATTTAAAACATATGGGGGATGGAGTTGGTCCAAGGAATTGGCCGTAAAATAATAAAAAGTATTATACTGTTTTATTTATAAAAAAACATAGTAATTTTTTCAATCACGGTTAATGATCTTTGTTGAAATATATATCACAGTAGAACAATGATGACCCTACTATATCTTCTACACGTTCAGATTTGCCTCACTGTATATGTCGTGTATATGTTTTACGTAGTTTAAATTACTAATAACTAATATATATACATATAAAAATGCTATGCTATGTCCTATACTTACTCTTTCATTGCCAGCTATCTCGTACGCGAACTTATAACTTGAAAAACTGTTGTATATGTTTTAGTATTAAGCAGTTATTCTTTACTTATTTTTACTATATTGGGCATTTGACTGCCTGGCAAGTTTCTAGATTAATACAAAACAAATATTTTTGGGCGGGAAGTACATAAAAGCCTCTACTATTCCTTTGTAAATAGCCTTCTTCGATAAATGGTCTTACAAGAATTTTTCCATTCAATTCGATCCAGTAATTCCTGAGATAAGCGCTTTTACGCAAGCAAACTTTATAATACTAATATAGTATAGATAACGATGGATACGCAACCCTAAAAAGTCAGATTTGCGTTGGGGACTGCGCGCGCGCACCTCGCACTTCGCAGTCCGCATACACCGCGCGCAACTGTCGCTCGTGTCCGAAATATGTGTATTAGCCGTGCTTAGAATGGTGTGCGTTACGTGATCATAATGCCGGAGTGTCCAGAGTTTTCGTTCACGATCCCGATCATACGATACACCATGGAGGAGGAATCCACGGAGAGACAGCAGCCGGTGAAGAAGATGTCGCTGCTTACGCCTGTCAAGATAGAGACCCCGGATTCGGGGAGGCGGGCTTCTGAACCGAACAGATACTATATACCACCACAGTGCAACAACCGGCTGTCACCAAGGACAGCTAGAAGACGGGAGTCCAGACGGAATTCCAAAGTGGACCACGAGGTGAAAGAATATGGTCCGAAGCCGTGCAATTGCGAGGATTGCAGAGCGTCCAGTCCCCTGCCACCAGGGTACGGACCGCCGACGATGTCCCCTGGCTACGACCAGATGAAGAGCGCACTGTTGGAGGTGCCGTGGAATGATGACTTTACAGAGGCGTCTAGTGATGATCTTAGTTCTGAGTGGGATTCGGACGTGCCTGAACCGCCGCCTGTGCAGCCAAAGGTAAAGCATCGTTTAGGATTTAAGGGCTAGTTTATATTCGCGGACTCTCGTATTATCATCTTCAAGTCTATTGTGACCATCTTACATATCAGGTATTGACTTGACAACAAACATCTACTCTCACACGTTTTATCAAAAGAGAAATTTTGAAATATGCTATATGACAAGCAGTTATATTAAGTAAAGAGTATAAAGATAAAACTAAGTACAGTAATTTACCTATTTAATAATAACGAGTAGACCCAGTGATATTTTTATTGTAGATAAAAGACCGTGTTTAATAAGCGTATAGTAATTAATGATTGCGGTCAATTGTAATAATGTATTATTATTTAAATAAAACACTTTAACGGTTTAATACGCGATATATTAGTTACACTTATTTGAAATTTATTTTTAACTTCGCCGACGTTTCGGATGCTTTGCAGCAGCCGTGGTCACGGGGAGACAATAAGAAAATAAGAGAAATAAGTTTAACTAATATATCGCGTTTTAAACCGTTAAAGTGTTTTATTTAAATGTGTCCTACTCGCGTAAACTATAGACAGTATTTAATATATTATTATCTTTAATCAGAATTCTAAGTTTAGCATGGGCAAGTGGCAATTGAAATGTCTCTCTAGATTTTAATCACCTTACGAATAGCTAATAATATAAAGTTATTATTACCAAAAATCTTCTGGTATCTCTTTGGGAAATCTCAAATATTCCGTGTTCTAAAAATAAAGAATACAGGCTCCACCGAATTTAGCCTTAGGCATGCCGAAATATACATAAATTAAATTCCTCTAAGACGCAAAAAGACAAGATTATTACAAATCCAACGGCCGCGAGATATGTGAAGAATTTCGATTCAAAAGAATAAATAATTAATATTTTTCCATTGAATTGCAAATTTCGTAAGAGCAACTTGTCGAAATGTAACAGACGTCAATGACAAACATGTTTCGCTAATGATTAAGCTTTATTTTTAAAATAAGTTATTCGCTTTTTTCTTATTATAATTTAAGTTCTGTGCGTCAGTACTCGCTAATCCCACTTTTTAGAATTCATATATAAGTAAATATTTCTATAGCTTTATAAAGCTTATCATGTTATTAATTATTGTAATGCATAATTATACAATAATTTCGACATACGCCGATAAGAAATGTGAAATATTTTTAGCAACACCACTTTATCAAATGGTCAAATTTAATGAATAAATACTTAAGTTTAGTTAGCTTTTATGACGAATTAGCTAACAATTTTCCGGGTATATGACGTCTTATAATTACGAAATTAGGTCACAGTTTCCATTAGGATAGTAATCTTAAAACAATAATAGCGCAAATAACGCTATCTATGATAAGATAGTTTCCGGAATTGTGCGAAATAATTTTACGACCCTACCAACTTGCGTAAATGAATGGAAAATTATTTTTGTGTCAGTCATATCCTAAAACTAAGTGTAGATATGTACATTTAAGTGTAATCGTTTTTGAGATGGTTTATATAGGTATGACTGAATTACGTTTTTTTTTACGTCTTTTTTATGGATTTTGGCAATGGCTAGTGGCGTAGCTATCGTAGGGCCAGGTGGTGTAGTGCCCCGGAACTTAGGGGCCCTCTATCCTTATTTTTGAGATGATATAAGCGTAAAAGATAAAGGATTTTTAACGTTCTTGTTGCTATTTGAAATTTTGGAGGTTCATTTAAATCATGCTATGCTAAATGAGGGATTCTTATACCCGATTATTTCTTGAGACTTAGGATTAGGTACACCGGGGCCCTTGTCGACCTAGCTAAGTTACTGGGCTAGACCGAGGATGCCCTCCTTGGCATCGGCTTCGAAAATGTGTGTGGGAAATGTGGGGGGGGGGGGGTATTAAACAAACAAATAAATTTACTTTTAAATAGAGACATTGTAATAATTATTCCGTCCACGTTAAGTGCTTACATGTTTTCGCGAAGGTCATCACTTCGATCATCTACCTAACGACCAACGAGTTATCCGACACATTTGTTTCGTTATACTTGATGGAAATTTACGAATTAGACAAAAAACTATACCGCACTAATTATTAGCTTTGTGGTAGTTTTTTTATTGTATGAGATATAAAATTAGGTTCATGTAATTTTATACGTGTGGTTTGAATAAAATGTAAGAAAGTGATAAGAAATATTGGGTTTAATATCTTTGCTATAAAAGTGAAGATCCGTGTCTCTCTATTTTACTATATTATTACGTTCTCCTTATTTAGATAGAAGTTCCACCCTGACACAAGATTTTTTTCTCTTTGTACGGATTTTAGATTAGAATTTTATCTTCCTCACGGAAAATCATGAATATGTTAACTTAGATATCTTACGCCAATGGTCACAGCTAAATAAAACCCTTCTAACGGTTTAAAACGTGTAATATAATAACGTATTTACAAATTATTTTAAACCGTTGTCATGGCTGTTGAATTATATATTACTGTTTTTTTTTCAATATTATAAATTTATAAAGATGAACTTGTACCATACCATACCGTTAACATACCGTATTGCCATCATTATTAACCCATCAATCGGGCTAACTTAATTCGCTTCTTAGAATATAGGAATACGATGACTCATAATATTGTGTGGTGATTATACGTAAATTATAGTTTATATGATGATGTTTGCAGAACGTCATATAATTCACTTCGTTGAATTGAATTGAGTCAACACAATGCAATTTTACGAAAATAATACCTAAAAAAGGTTCTATTTCTTGTTCTTTTAGGCGACATATAATAAGAATTTTGTACAGATTAGGCAGTTTATTACGAAAACTCTAGTCAGAGTTTCGTATTAACACTTTTACTTGTAAACTATTGAATTGTTACCATTGACAAAATTGAAAAATACCATAGTCCATGAAAATACAATAAGACATACAGAATAAGTACAAGACAACAGATACGCAATATAATATATAAAGCTGAAGAGTTTGTTTGTTTGAACGCGCAAATCTCAGGAACGACTGGTTCCAATCCTAAAGTTAAAAAAAACGGAGAAAATTATTCATCTTTGTGGGTTTCCATTGCGTACGCTGCGAAAACGGTTCAAGATACCCAAAAAATATGCATTAGAGAATGATTCCTCTTTAAATGATCTAAAAAAGTCCGCGATGTCTATATCTTTCGTCGTCGTGGTTAACAACTTGCTTGCAGAAACGAATTTGGGTACCCAAAATAAATTTTCTTAGCGGACGAAGTCGCTGCAACACCTAGTACTTAATAAAGTTATTGAATTAATCAATGTTATTATCTGAAAACGGCGAAGCCAAAAACTGAGGTTGTTTATTTTGTTAATCCTATTGACAGCCCGTAACAGTAAGTGTATACACTTACTGTTACGGGCTCGTTGTTGTTTACTTAATCAATGTATGGTTAATAATCCAATTATAATAATAAACAAATGGTTCAATCCCCACCGGCTCCAACTAGAAACATTAGTCAATTTATAAATTTTCAAAAACATGTTGGACTTCGTGCGGAAAACTGGATAATAAACGGGTGTTAGAAATATCGAAATTCCGTCCGGGTCACGAACCACCGCCCACAGATGAAAGGCGCGATCAATCGCGTTTCGGTTTCAGCCTGTTATTATCATAAAGAAAAAAAACTGAATGAACAGTATTTTTTATTAATACTGTAGAATAAAGAACATTTATCTGTAATTCCATTAGACTAGTCATATTTCAAACATAAATTGTACAGTGGAAAATTTGCTCCATTACATTACAGATAACACTCGCAATGCGTTTATCAAATATCGTTTATAAATGTGATAGTACAAGCGACGTGCGCGCGCGCATGACCCGACAACGCGTAAACCGTTACTTGGCTAAGCGCGTGCTGTTCCACTGCCCTTATTGACTTTTCATTGTCTATACATTCTATGAGGATTTTAATGTCATGGATTAAAGCGGAGCGCTTGAGTGTAACGAGACGAGACTATTGGAAGTTTGAGAACCACTTCTTCTTAGACCAATAAACCTCCTTATTTAACACTATATCTATAAAGTTGTAGACAAAGTAACGCTGTAACGCTTCTAAAGTGAATAGAAGTGTTTGATATCTAAAATAACTAATTAAAATTGCATATCGTTAACATGAATAGCGCAATAAAATTAATCAATATATTACGTCGTAATGACCTCGATACTTGACACGTTAAATAATATTAGAAAACACGTGCTTCGGTCACGTGAATGAATACAAAACGTGTATCTTTACTAATATATAAAGCTGAAGAGCTTTGATTGAACAGGCTAAGGTTAGCCAATTGAACAATTCTTATATTGGTTGGAGTATTTACCGAGGAAGGCTTTAGGCGAAAAACCATCACGATGCGACTAATAGGAGCGAAGATACAGTAGGAAAAAGTGGAAAATCTGTATAAACGGTTCAAGATATCCTAAACAGCTGTATGAAAGAATGATTCCTCTTTAAGTGATCTAACAAAAAAACCGGGACAGTATATCTTTTAAAAACGACGTCACACGGACGACGGCACAGCTAGTGTATATTTGTTGTTTTGGTTGGTGGTCGACTGCCGTGTTGGTTCAGTGGTAAGAATGCTTTATAGCTTAACATGGGAAGCGGCCGGAATACAATAAATGTGTATCTATGTATATTATTGTATATTGATACGAAACAGTGAAAGCGTCGTATCAAAGCCGGTTTCTTTGTTTAAAACTTTTATAATCAATCATGGCAGATGACATGGGTTATTAAAGGCGCTTCAATTTGTTGATATGTGTGAATATTTTTTTTTGTCAAAATAAAAAAAAATATCTCTAAGAGAAAAAAAGCTTAAGGTCGTTAAGTTACTTCAGTGAATAGTAAGTATATGGTTTATATACCTTTAGTTTTATATCCCACTAGCTATGCCCACTTTATCCTCGTGGAACAGTGACTTTGGGCATCATATTATTTATTTGTAGATACAATCTCCTCAACTTTTTAAGTTATAGCTGTCAC